AATAACTAAGTTAACTATCAAATAGGTTATTTTCATGTTATTTACAGTGATATAAATTACTCAGTTCAAGCAATTAACACACCGTTTTGAACTGTTTCTTCATCATGTTTCTTTCAGAACATGTGAAAATCATTATGCAAAGGTTCTTCATGAACATAAAGTAGAAGAAAATCTAAACAAAGTTTAACATTGTTATTTATTTATAGTTACATTGCATGACAAGATTCTTCACTTACCAGTCAGCTATACATCCTGTTATTAAGTGGCCGAAGATTAATCCTACCAGTAGGGAGAACTTCGCAATGTGGACTTTCCAGGCAGAATCACAAACAAGATCCCACTGGAAGAAAAGACGACAGAAAAACTGAAATAAATTAGTTATTCTCAGATGCTTTTACACATACTGGCCCTGGCGTAGAGCTTCTTCCAAATTTCAGTCCTAGTACGAGTGCATGGAAACAGCAGAGGAAATCGTTCCCCCTCAAGTCAAAACCCGGATCCCAAGAAGCAAACTGAAGACTTGTTTACTTCAGTGCATTTTACCGGCCCCTTGATTATAAAATGACAATATCCAATGCTTAAGCCTCCCCCTCTCCAGGCCACGTGAGTTTAGACTAAGGGGCGCACCTCCGACCTTGGCAGTAATGATGCAGCTGAGCACCTCACCCTAGCAGCCCCAGACACCCACCAGCAGCGAGCCCGGCAATTTAAGAGCAAGTTCTCATATGGACCTCCTCAGGGCCACTTGGAAACAAGGGGAAAAGCAGCTGCTTTGCCATAGAACCCTGATGGCCATTAGCTCCAGGCTCCCACGGACAAAGCACCAAGGCACTTTTGCTTTCAGAAAAGCATCCCGGTTCCCCAGGCAGTGGAAGGGGGTGAAGACTGACTAACAGCACGGGTCATCAGGCCAGGTCTGAAAAGCCAGGTCCTAGCACGGAGCCAGACAGGGCAGCCAGAGCGCCCAGCATGCAACTCCTTGGGACAGCAGCTCCCACAGTGATGTTTCACAGCTTGGAGATCAGATGGGGGCTGAACCTCCACACAAAAGCCATCCCTGACACCGACATTACCCTTTCTGTCCAAAGGAAGGGAAAAGGACCACTCCAGGCACGCCTGTCACCAGGGCATTGCCTCGTTTCCATGAGAAGGATGGGAACATCAGGGTTTCTAGTAAGGCTTCTTGAAACTCCAAGATATTTTCCTCCGAGGTGTTAGACTGAGCCTCAGGAGAGCCAGGCTGTGTTCCTGGCTTTAGCCCAACATCCTCATTTCCCTCAGGACGTGTCACTTAAATCTCTCATGTGTAAAGTGTGGACAGTACTATTATACCCTTGAATAAATGTGGGAAGATATGTTTGTTTGTGGTTTGTGAATTGTTCAAATATTGATGGTAATGGGAACCATGCACATTTCATGCAAAATAAGTACAGTAACTTTGGAGAGTCAGATACTCCAGAACTGAAACTTTGCAGAATAAATGGCTGTTTGTGTGTAATGTAATAGTAGCAGCCCTCCTGACATCAGTAACTGAAGTTTCATGGCCAAAAAATGCAAAGCAAAAGTATGCAATTTATTTTCAAAAAGTCAGATGCAACTTCAAAAGAACACCTCCCTCAAAAGAGCTCAATTAGGTACGCCACACATTTAAGCATTTCCATGACATACAGCCCTTCCACAACTAAGGCTAGCTCTGACTCAGCCCTCTTGTTCAACATCACAGGAGATGTTCTCCCTACAAGATACCATCTCACCAAGAAGTATAGCACTTTTGTGGCCAAAAGAAATGCGCCAGCTTTCAGGCTCAGGCTTTTTGTTTTAGTTAGATGTATTTTTGAGTTCCTCACTGCACTGACCTGTAAAGTTGAGGCATATATCTGGTCCTCCAACCTACAGACTGAAGGCACTAAGGAACCAAAAGCAAATAATATGAGCAAATGTTTTTTTTCCCCCCCAAGTAGTTACGAATTATTTTCAGCAACAGCTTAGCAAGGCAGTGAGAGTTGTTCTCCAAAGATGCTGACTTTTTAGAAGTGTTTAGCAAATGGGGGAAACAATTCCTAGTATTTGCAATTATAGATCCCATCCCCAGTTAGCAAAGAAAAGTATTCACCCAGACAAGCCACAAGCAAAAAACTTGGGTGATACATCTGAGTTCCAGGCAGACTTTCAAATGCTCTGGGTTTATTTTCACAATCCAGAAGTTGTATATGCTGCTTAAAATCAAGAAATCTTTTTTTTTGGTCAAGAGCAAATTAAGCTTATTAAAATAGTCATATTTACACAAGAACACTTTTTTAAAGGCAATCTCTGGAAGTTGTTACTTTTTAATTTCATTGCTGTCAGAGGAACAGCAACCTCACCGAAGTGCAAACAGAAGCAGTGGATATTCTGGTGCCTTTCCACTCACACAGCTCACTACTGCTAGTCAAGAGAGCCAGCCCTTGCACGAGCCCCAGGCAGAGAACGTGCAGTACCAGACTGCAAGAAGGTAAAGGTCCCTGGCTTGGAAGAGCCAAAAATCTCATGAAGGGCTGTTGTGAAATTTCAGGCTGGGACAGCAGATGTCAAACCACTTTGGCCCACTGGTATACAGAGCAAGAGTTTAGAAGCAGAAGAAAAGTCAATCTATCAGCACGTCCTTCAGTGGTGCCTAAAACGCAGCCACTCCTTTTGATAACTTATCCACAAGTCACTGTTTGTTTGTTTTTAAGGCCTATTGCCCAACTCCCCAGCTCCTCTGAAAATAAAAACATGTATTTCCTTCCAAACCCTGCCCTCGGTTAAGCACTGGCTCTGCAGGCCAGCGTAAATCAGAGCTGATCCCCCAAGCCTGCAAGGGCAGCCTAACGCGAGTGCTGACAGACACGGGCAGCCCCTGACCTTCCCCGAGCCTCTCGCTCGTCAAACCCCTCAGAACTCGTAAAATAGGGAAATGGTGAAATATTTCAATAGTTGCTCTAGCGAAAACTTCCAGGGAATCTGCCACGACCCCAAATTACTCACTCAGTACTAAGAGCTCAAGCATACCCCAATTTCTCCTCCAGCAGCTGTCACAAATCAGAGAGAGGTCGCCATGAAGTAGTTATCCAAAATAAATTTGGTAGGACAGTGGTGGGTGCCACCAGGGCATTGAGCTCAAAGAGACATAAGGAGAGGGCACAAAAGAAAAACAGATGCTGCAGTCAAAAGCAGCCTCAGGTAAAGATGACATTAATAGGACAAAATACGTATTTAATAGCTAGCGTATCATCCCCACCCATCTTAACGCAGCAGCACAGCAAACCAGCAAGGCTTCGTCATGCTGAAAGAACAGTAAATTTGCCAGAGACCTGAGCTCCCCCTTCCTCATAGAAAAGCCAAAGGCAGAGGACTGGAGCCTCAGCTTTGAAGAGCTAGGAATAAAGCAGGAACCATTACAGAATCATAGAATCATTTGGTTGGAAAAGACCTTTAAGATCATCAAGTCCAACCATACCTATCCACTACGAAACCATGTCCCTAAGCACCTCGTCCACCCGTCTTTTAAATACCTCCAGGGATGGGGACTCGACCCCTTCCCTTGGAAGCCCGTTCCAATGCTTAACAATCCTTTTGGTGAAAAAATTTTTCCCAATGTCCAACCTAAATCTGCCCTGGCACAACTTGAGGCCATTTCCCCTCATCCTATCACCCATTACCTGGGAGAAGAGACCACCTTGCTACAGCCTCCCATCAGGCAGTTGTAGAGGGCGATAAAGTCTCCCCTCAGCCTCCTCTTCTCCAGGCCGAACAATCCCAGTTCCCTCAGCCACTCCTCATCAGACTTGTGCTCCAGACCCCTCACCAGCTTCGTTGCCCTTCTCTGGACATGCTCTAGCACCTCAGTGTCTTTCTTGTAGTGAGGGGCCCAAACTGAACACTATTCAAGATGCAGCCTCACCAGCACTGAGTACAGGGGCACGATCACTTCCCTGCTCCTGCTGGCCACACCAGTCCTGATACAAGCCAGGATGCTGTTGGCCTTCTTGGCCACCTGGGCACACTGCTGGCTCATATTCAGCCGGCTGTCAACCAACACCCCCAGGTCCTTTTCCACCAGGCAGCTTTCCAGCCACTCTTCCCCAAGCCCATAGCATTGCATGGGGTTGTTGTGACCCAAGTGCAAGACCCGGTACTTGGCCTTGTTGAACCTCATACAGTTGGCCTCATCCCATCGAACCAGCTTGTCCAGGTCCCTCTGCAGAGCCTTCCTCCCCTCCAGCATATCAACACTTCCGCCCAGCTTAGTGTCACCTGCAAACTTGCTGAGGGTACACTCAATCCCCTCATCCAGGTCACTGATAAAGACATTAAGCAGACATAGCATCAGTGCTGCCTCTCCCTTTACACACACCTGCGCTCAGCAGAGCATACTTGACACGAGCCCACAGGGCACGGCTGGACCCAGAGCCATGGCAGGGCCTGCCATAAGTGCCAGTAGCTTCATCCCGCAAACACGACACTCATATTTGTTCCACAGAGAAGGGAGTGACAGGTTTCCGCATCCCTGCAGAATGAAATGCTGGGCTGGGCAGCACTGATGACAGTTCAAGCAGCGCTCCAAGTAAAGCTGCACTAGGAGATTGTTTTGGCTGGAGACTAGGCAGTAATCCTCCACCGCCTCTTACAAAAGGTAGATTAATCTGTTACAAGCAGGGAGACCATTAAATCCTCTGGCTGAATCCCCTGGTGTCCCACCTCGGAGTTAACAGCACTCAGCCTGAAGGAAGGATGCTGCTAAATTTACAGTGCTCCCTGGGATGTCTCTTTGTGTCCCTGTGTTCTGTCTGTCTTTCTGTCCTCCCATCCATCCTCCTAATGCAAGAGGTCTGATAAAGTGACTTGCTAAACCAACAGCAGTCTATTGTTATGCTGAAACAAAAATAACTGTATATAAAATATGCTGGTGGAAAGGGAACATTTAAAAAAACAAGCGCTTTTTTTCATAGCAGTACAGCAATGGAGAGGATTGGCCACCTATGCAGATGTGCAATATATTGCAAGTGGGTTGGTTTTTTTTTTTTTGTTCGTGTTGTGACAGCACTTTTTTTTGTCAAAGCTTAAGGATTCACACCTTCAGGATCCTAATGTTTAATTGATATCAGTGAGTCACCACCCGTGCTGTGAGTCACCGCGCTTCACATCAAGATGGAGAACTATTTGAAACGCGAGATGCTTGGGAAGACATCTGGCAAAAGGTAAAGCTCCCAAAAAGTAACCACCCTGTAACTTTGTTGCGAGGGGTCAAAATCTGGACAGGGTTCATGCAGTGATTCAGTATTTGCACTGAAGT